TCCACGTGGATATACACTCACCAACCTCTTCATTAGGTACACCTGTTCAACTGCTCGCTGATGCAAATATCTATCAGCCAATCACATGGCAGCATCTCAGTGCATTTAGCTACATAGACATGGTCAAGATGAAGTATTGATGTTCAAACTGGGCATCAGAATGGGAAAGAAACATGATATAAGTGACTTGCATGGTTGTTGGTGACTTACAGGCTGGTCTGAGTATTTCAGAAACTCCTGATCCTCTGGGATTTTCCCACACAATCATCTTTAGAGTTTAAAGAGAATAGTCTGACAAAAAGACAATATCAATTGATCAGCAATTCTCTGCATGAAAATGCCTTGTTGATGCCAGAGATCAGAGGAGACTGCTTTGATCTGATGCGAATAGTGACTCAAATAACCACTCATTGCAATCAAGGTGTGCAGAAGAGCATCTCTGAACGTGCAACACATTTAATCTTGAAGCAGATGAGCTACGGCAGCAGAAGATCATCCTGGGTGCCACTCCTGTCAGCCAAAAACTGGAAAATTAGTCCAGAATTTGCAAGAATTTACTAAAAGTGATCAGTTGAAGACTGGAAAAACAAAACAATCTCTGCTTCGCCGTTCAGATGGTATGGTCAGAATTTGGGTTAAGTGAATAAACGTGCAACCATTCTGCCTTGTATCAAAAGTGCCAACTAAGCATCATTTAAATGCTACAGCCTACCTCAGTATTGTTTCTTAGCTTGTTGATGCCTTTGTTCACATCTTCTGATGGCTGCTTCCAGCAGGATAAAATGCCATATCACAAACCTCAAAATATGTCAAAGTTGTATTCTAATTTTTGCCTCATAACTTTTGCACTGTCCACTTCCTGCTGTGACAAAACAAATTTCCCACGTGTGGGACTAATAAAGGTTATCTTATCTTATCTTATCTTAAGTGATTTCTTGAACATGAGGTCACTGAGTTCATCGTACTTAAATAACCTCCATAGTCACTAGATCTAAATCCAGTAGAGCACGTCGGGATGCGGTGAAACAGGAGATTCACATTATGGTTGTACAAGCGACAAATTCGCAGCAGTATCAGTCTGGACCAAAGTCTGTGAGTAATGTTTGCAGGACCTTGTTGAATCTCTGCCACAAGGACTTAAACGAGCTCTGAAGCCAAAAGGGGTCCAACCCAGCACTAGCAAGGTGTACCTAATAAACTGACTGTATAATTATAAGCTTTAATTCTTAGCTCCCCAGCTGTATTGTGAAACGTGTCTATCACAGCACTACACAAGAATTAGTATTTATTTGTATGTCTTTGCACACCATCCTTTTTTTTTGTTGTTTCATTTTGTATTAGTTCCTTTAGGAAATATCAGACTTTTAATCTGTGAAATGACTCATTATGTTGAGCTGCTCTTTAACTTTATCTACAAACTGTTGCTGGGTGGATAGCATAGCAAAGTGTACAGATCTTTCTAGCTGAAAGCAGCTTGGAATTAAGGCTGATGATAGTCTTTATATTTTTATTAAATCAAACAAAAATTGTTATGATAGATTTCGATTGAATTTTGAGCAGTAGCTGCCCACTGTATTGCTTTTCACTGTACATTGCAGTGCTTTTGATGTTACAGGCAAATACTCCTTCCTATCCTAAGGAGGATTAAAATAGTATCAGCACATAAAATTGGCAGACAGAAAATGCTACATGCAGGTACTGGATGTGCTGCAGGAGACAGCTAATGCATAAGTAATGGTGAAGAAGCCTTTTGATCAAATATTCTGGGTATATATGTTGTAGTATACTCACCACTCTAAGCACTTTACACTTTACATTGTCACAAACTGTGATGGATATATCAACTGTTGCTTTTGGCACTTAGTATCTTGTCCAGGATCACTTTGACATGAAGTACTGTAGCTTGAGATTGAAGCATTGACCTTCTTATTAGTGGGCAACCCCGACTACCACCTGAGTCACAGCTACCCCTCAGGGTTCCTATGTGAGACCATATTGGAGAAGACTGTTGACTGTTTCTGTATTCTCTTTAACAGAAGTGTAAAACGGTAAATCCTCAACTGACTTGTGGTGTGTTTGGAAGTACAGCTGTTGCTCATTGCATTTGTGTTTGAATCCTCTATCGTGTGTTGCAGTTTGGTTAAAACACCTGCCGAAGATATCGATTTAATAACATAAAAATCCAGTATTTTGAAGCATTCAAATGAGAAAAAAATTACATTTAGACCATTATCTTGAGAGTGAATGCCACATTTGGGCTCTACAGTGTATTTAATTGTGTATCCAAATACTTGGCATCCTCAGTTACTAAATAAATATTCCAGGATTTCAGGGTTCAGTTTGTGAAGCATCGTCAGTGCTTTAAAATTTAAAATCCTGCTCTTTTCTAAACTGATACAAAATTTTCTTTAACTACAGGTAAATAGGCCAATATTGTTGTTGGCTCTAGCTACAAATTTCATTTGAAAAGAGCTGCTGTAAATGGAATGGTATTCCTCTTTGAAATTATCGGGAGGCGGATGAGATAAGATAAGATAGAACTTTATTAATCCCTCGGGTGGGTTCCTCTGGGAAATTCGACTTCCAAAAAAAAAGCAACGACCAAAGTTACAGTTACAGCACTGTTATATATTTATATTTATATATATATATATATATATATATATATATATATATATATATATATATATATATATTATATATATATATATATATATATACACACACATACACACACACACACACATATAAATACAGAGACAAATATAAATAAAAGACCTTGTGTTGTTGAGATGAAGTGCACTGATGTTGACAGAGTAATCGAAACTAAAGCCTTGCTGTCAGAGTTCTGGGCCCAGATCGGACTGCTGCGTGAATCATAGTAATTGGCTCTTGTCTCAGTGGTGGAGAACAACATCCATTAACGGAGAGGCTTTGGATGGAGGCGGTGATAGTTTGGCTTTAGCTTACAGTTTGCAGCTTGAGAGGAAAACTATGAATATGTCACGGTGCGGCATGGCACACCGTGGAAGGAGTGGGGAAGGAGGACCCAGGCGCGGTGCTCTACGTATAGACAGTGTTTATTTACAGAGGGTGATATCAAACAACAATAAATCCCCGTGTTTCTCCCCAGACTCCCGTGTCGTGTCCTCCAAGTGCTCTCTGCTCCCGTGTCTGCACTCCCGGTGCTCGCTGCTCCTTAAGCCTTCCACGCTCCTCCTGCGGGAAACAATAGCGGCAGCAGTCAGGACACTGAACAATGGCAGGCATACACTACACGACCAAAACCTAAACTGGGTAACTAACGTGGAGTCCCAAGCAATGATCCCGCGTCGGTGGGAGCTCCAAGACTCTTAAGTAGCTCCCCCGACGAGGCCTGATCAGCAGCAGGTGTGTGGCTTCGGGTGTGGCCAGTCCCCTTGCAGGGCCACACCCTCCAGGCCTGACGCCGCCTGTAAACTAGTGCTCAGCCACCCACACACACACATATACACAAGCACAGGGAAGGGGGAGCAACACCAAAATACACAACAACAATAATAATAATACTAATAATAATAATAATAATAAAATACATGACTGCTCAGGGATCCTGGGTCGCCCAGTCCCAGGACCCTGACAGAATATTTATTGGGCTGGTGATCATGAATCCGTGTGTATATCTGTGGGATGTGATTATGCTGTGCAGACCAAAGACAATCAGATACAGTAAAACAAACATTCATTTGTATTCTGCCTTTACAAATGATTTCTCTATGTCATGTAGCTATAATAAATGACAGAGAAAGCTGCTTTAATTTGAACAAAAAAGTGCTTGCTTTCTTTTTTTTGTAGGTTTATTGGAGACTGTGAGAGAGGCTCCAATTAAAATAAGAGTAATTAATGTTAATTACCGCATAATGTTCAATATATTATGTTTTGATTTCAGGGAATCATCCATAAACTAAATATGAGAAACATGTAAAGGTTTCCTCTGACAACACTGAATCATCCCCATCAGCATCCAGCCTATAATGACTCACTCAGGACGCCATTCATCTCCGCAACACGACATGATTGCAACGTTCATTTATCCATTGAGCCAGAATTACACCATTTACTCATCCAACTGGACATTATTACGCTGTTCATTCATCTAATATGGAGCCATTACTGCTGAAAGACCCGTTTCTACCTGGGGAACATTAAACCAGCTCCTGAATGATTAGACTCCTCTCTGACACTCATGTTGTTATATTCACAGGCTCAACACTTTAGTTGTCATTAGCGCCTCTTTAAGACTTTAGAATGAAACAATCAAAAGCTGTCCGAATAAACTTCTTTTATCTTAAAAAAGCTGATCATTTGCAGAGACAACGCTTTTACCTCTCAGCATCAGAGCACTCCCACCCTGCTGTTTATAACATTTCATCAGGTTTTCACTCAGGCTAAGAGATGGAGACTAATCCATTTCCAGCTGTGTCGGGTATTGTGATATTCTCATTGTGCTTTTTGCTGTTGATCTCTACTCTTTGAACCACTCAGCTTTTTTTCAGTCAGATAAAAAGTTTGAATGCTTCCTTCTTCTTTTTTTTCTTGATTTTAAAGCTTAAAAAAAGACATTCCCGCGTCAACCTACTGTTGTGAACTACTTAACTGTGCAGCGAGGAACTGTAGCTGACATTAACCCTGCAATTCAAAGATAACACATCCACTGCTCCTCTTTGCTTATTAGGGCTAAAACTGGCACTGAAGCCCAGTAACAGATTTCTTGAGCTAAGAGTGCTCTTACTCAGGATGCGTCATAGCTGTGTTCAACTATGCTTACTTCTCTCAGACTTTTAATTTTGTTTTGTTCAGTCTAGGAATATTTTGAGGAGGCTATATCTGTGTGGAGATGTTGAAACAAATGTAATTATAGACCCTCAAAAAGCACAGCAGTGCACATGCTGACATTTACATGTAAATGTCAAAATCTGAAGGACATTCATTATACTTTATGTTTTGATATTTCTCGACAGAGGTGTGTGACAGCGCACTGGTCTCCAATCTGCCGCCATCTTCCTTCCGAAGCTCTTCCCAGCTGTCCAGCAGCCACGCCCCGGGTTTCGCCAAACTCAACAAAAGAGAAGGTGAGGAACAGATTCTGCTACTTCCAAACAAAAGTACCTAACTAGTATTAAAATATATTTGATGATCTGAAACATGTAAGTGTGAGAAATATGCAAAAAATTGATGCAAATAGTGTTTGTGCCTTTGGCATGGTTTGGGGAAAAAATAGGATTATGGATTAACTATTAGTTGGAATGGTGATACGTTCTTTTAATTTGGACCTGAATGTTTTTAACTGGGAAAAAAATGCAAGCTTGAACAACACAGCGTGTTAGTATGTGAGGCTTACAGTAAACAAGAAGGTGCCAGTCTGATCTTAGGGGAAAAAAGCTACTTCTGTCATTTGTATCTGAGCAATCTGTAGGAGTACTCTGTCAACACGCTGCACGCTCTATATTAAATGCTAAATTGTTTTAGCATCAATTATAATAGAGCGTGACTCATTAAATCTGAATTTGACTTTCTACTCTGCTTGGTAGTAAAGAAATGAGCAGGCGTTGCAGTGACACTTCAGGCCGTGTATTAAAAAGACTGTAAGAGCTAATTTTTCATTGTTGCCCTTTGCTGGCATTTGATGTTCAAAAGCCACCCTGCTGTAATGGAACTGACATTTCGTGGTCTTTCATTAACTAGGAGACGCAAAGATGACAGAGACAAGATTTCAAAGACTTGTGAACATTGTGAAAACTTTTAAAACTAATATTAAAAGTAACCTGAGACCATTTTATATTACCCATAAAGAAGATTATACTTACTGCTGATTGATTAAAGGCACTGCATGTTAGGATGTGAAGCAGTTAGAAATAAAAGCTATATTACATAAGACTGTTGACTTGATTTATAATACTACATTAAGTCTCTGATCCAGACTACAGCATATACAGACCTGCACCTTCTCAGAAATATAACTACACAAATATAACTCCTGGTATCTTCATCTACTTGCTGGCACTTACACTTGCTAGCACCTACATAATACCAGCGTGCACAAGCAACCCACAAGTAAGTATCGGCCAGCGTTGTCATTATTTACAAGGATTCAGGATTCATGCAGAGAAGCGCAGCTTAATAGCTACCATTAACTAAAACAACACAAGTTTGTTTTTTGTTTTTTTTAGAGTGTAAATGCACTATCCATTGCATCTGTCTCATTTGATGGCGTTTACACAGTTATCATTAACATTAGCTGAGTTTGCAACTGGAATTGTTTCAGCTGTCTTATATGTTGCACAGTATACGATTGGGTTTTTATTTCCTCGAAATCCAAGTGAAATGTCTTGTTTCCATGTTTTGTAGTTATGTTAAACACTAGTAAAAAGAGAAAACAGAGAAGAGATAGAATGTGCCTCCAGGATTTTATATATTGAGTAATTTCTCACATAAATCCTCTCACTGCTGCCATCAATATCACAGACACTTTGTGCTGTATATTTATGCAGTATATACTGTATATATTAAAAAATCTCAGTGGTACACAGGCATAAATATTCATTTCTGTACTGTGGGAAAAAATCAAGGTTGGAAGACCAAGGCAACTGCAATATTTTTAGCTCAATCGGCCACCGATGATCTTATGCTGTGGTGAAGTGTCTATCGTGCATCTACCCACAGTTTCACTCCTCCTGGAATGATCGGATTTTGGTGAAAGTTTCAGACGGTCACCTGATGGATCTTCATCAAAAGTCTGCCCAAGGTCAAGGTCATGTTTGCTATTCTCTGTGAACTTTAGTTCTTATTAGTTTGTGTAGTACTGCTAACCGATGACAAGAAAACTGGTCACTTTTCTTTTCTACTTCACGTTACAATAACTGATGTGCACCTGTGTTTCAGATGCACCTGATTTTGGGGTCATGTTGAAAATTTGTGGCACGAGTTGTTTGTTGTCATTTTGAATATATAGGTTAAAGATTAAGTCTGAAGAAAAATATGTATAGTTTTATTCCTCAAAATCAGTATTTTTCTTCAAACTCGTGTCCTTACCTTTATCAAGGTTCGGACAGGATCTCACTGAGCATGTGCAGAGTCAGGTTTCGGACTCAAGCTTGTTTACTGAAATTAGATTGAAATTTGTAGTCTTACAAAAATATGACAATTGTTAGAATTGCCCCCAGCCGACCCATACATTTTAAATTTGCCACAGAGGAGAGCATTATAGGACAAAATAACTTCCTCAGGCTTCCAGTTCATTAAATTTACATGAATATAAAAACATGATGTTGATGCTATACCCTAGGGCTGGGCGATATGATCCAAAATTCATATCTCGATATTTTTTAGCTGGATGGCGATATAAGATATATATCTCGATTTTTTTTTTTTTAAAGCCATAAGTTAAGAACAAAAAGAGAGTTCTTAGTCACACTGTGTCCCAGATGTCACACGGGCACTTTTATTTACATACAGCGTAGATGTATATGAAGAAATTACTCAAAAAAAATTATCAGCATTTATTAAATAATCATGGTCCATAAATAAAAGAAAATGTTGTTTTTGTGCATAACAAAAAGCTCACAATTGTGCAGTCAAAATGTAAACTAATAGACGCTGAGCGTAATAACAAAGAGACAGATTTCACAGCTGCACCACGTCTCTGAACAAGTGCCATTTGTGGTCCTTATACACACACAGTACGTATCACTCCGCGAGGCTCCTCCCCGGTAGCCGTAATCCTCCGACATCAAGCGGTGCAGCTCCGTAGCTTAGCAAAGTCATATTAAAACTTTTGTTGACAGATTGCTGAGCGCTGTGTACCACATAAAATCGGTTCGCGGTCAGTAAGCACAACCAGAATTCATACATAAGGCGCACTGTCGAGTTTTGAGAAAATGAAAGGATTTTAGGCCGTGCAGCCCCTCCTGGCTGCATGTCGTTAGCGCGGTTAGCTCGTTAGCGTGGTTAGCTCGCTAACACGTTGACGCCGTCCAGCCCCACGCACGGTAACTCGCTAACGGAGATTTTCCGCTTTCATCTTGTCATTGCCTGCAGGTGAAGCTATGGGGGAGGCGGAGTTCTGTTCAGTGAAGGAGAGGCAAGGCAGAGTAACGTTGCGTAGAGACAAAAGTGGACGAAAGAGAGGCAAATCTGCGGCTCCACAAGTATAATTATAACGTAACATAGACTGTATCGATATAAACGATATTGCCACATCTTATATCTCGTATGAAAATATATCGATATTTTTTAAAAAAACTCGATATATCGCCCAGCCCTACTATACCCCTGCACTAAAATAATCCAGGTACAGTCAAAAGACCCAGAATAAACTCTACATTCTTTAAGTAGTACAGTGTATCCACAGGGGTTGCCGTTAATGTGTGAAGGAAAGTCTGTAGAAACAGATCATTTAAACATGAAAGAACTCCTGGGCTATAAATAATAGAGTACCAGCTGAGATCCCACAACAACATCTGGTTCAATGTCCTAACAAATAATTTCAAGACAGCGGTAACCCTCATGCATTTATTTTTCCTAATCTTGCTCTAGTATGTTGCCAGTAGATAAGGAAGTTCTTGGTTCGGGATCCCAGGGAGCATTCCCAGCTGTTTGCCGAGGAAATCGATGAATAAATGAATGTCTCCGACTCATTTCCATCTCTGTTGCAAACTCTGCTTCCTCTGGTTGTTCTCTAAGGAGCCGCTTCACTCTCACTTCATTTATCCACTAAGTGAACACCGATTATCAGGCTTTAAATATGACCTACACGGCACACCATAACAAGAAATCTATAATGTTTCACTCATTCAAACTTTATTGTTATTGATGAGCAGTGAAGGTCATGAACATGTGTTATATGTGATGAGATTATTCACTTTAAATGGAATAACTATAGATTACAATTCCATTTTTCATGGTATACCAAGTACATTTATACACCAAAAAAATGTGAATACGAGCAGAGCAGCCTCAGAACAGAAGATTGTAGTGATTCTTTAATCATGGGAGGTCTGTGTTCGCTGATAGCAAACAAAAACAATTTTTTTGGCTTCCTTTAACCACTGAACCAGTTTTGAATTACAGCCTTTTGTTTGACAGAAACTGTGATCTTCAAAGATCAGTTATTTTCCCTGCCAGGGACAGTGGTGCTTTGAGCTAAAAACTGGCATATTAACATGTTCAAATACAAAATGTTAATATGTTGAAGCTTGGTGGAGGATTGTAAGTGTGCATGTTCAAGTAACTACAATGAAGTTGAAGTTGCTGTTATCATTTTTTGAGTGCAATTCTGTATTTTTTTATGAGACTAATTTGTACTAAATTATAAAGTAATAAATCCTCTATGTCTGTGTATAAACCTCAGTGTCGATCAAGTAGTTGATCTGTATTTCTGTATTTCTCCAGAAGGAAGAAAGTGGAAGTCATTATATGTAAAGGGTGAGAGAAAGTAAAACCAAACCAGCTGAGAACTTCGAGGTTCACCACTCACCTCAGTCTGGAAATATTGCACATTTATGTAAACTACAGCTTGATATTTTACTGACGCACGCAAGGAATGAATGGACTGTTTGTATATGGCTTTATACTATTCTTCACATATATGGAAGACCTAAGGAAGAATCTGATGATAATGAGGATGCTAATAGAGATCCAGAGGAACCACTCAAAGTACTTTATACCGCAAGCAAATTTGTACATAGAGCTCTTCTCCCAGCACAAGCAGATAACAGATGTCTTACCCAGGACTGGAGGGTTTAAAGCAATAAGTGGATGACCCTCTCCGCCTCTTCAGCCACAGCAGCCATACAACAACAAGGCAGCAACACTGGGATTTGCAAATGAAAGACAAAAAAACAAAATCCCAAAGTCATTTATAAAGGAAACAAAAATATCCTTTTAAGCCAGACATTTTATGAAACAAAGCACCTTCCCTTTGCATTCACACATTCACCTGAGGGCCTGACAATGTACTTGGGACTTTAACCTGATGTAGCTGATCACATTGGAGGTCTGAAGGGGACACCAGAAGTGGATAAAAACCCCTTTATAGTCTATTGATTGGAGATGAATGGCCTATTAACAGAAA